TGGCATGTGCTGGAACCTGCTGGAAGGATTGGATGGTCAGGTGACCTGCTGTGCATGGCTGTGCATGACCTCATATGACCTCATCCTTGGTCATATGACCTGACCACCTGACTAGGCTGAGTAAGCAAGATGTTCTAGCAGGTTCCACCACAGAGGTATAAATATAAGGCCTACTCTGCCTGGGACTGTCTCTTCAGACTTGGTCTCTTAGGATCATCCACAGGTACCTATACTGTAGATAGGTCTTAGTCATCAGGTCTACTCCACTTCCTTGTTGCCTGCTTAGACTCTTGGCACTCTTAGGTGAGCAGACTTAGTCAGCCTGTGTTGCCCTAACAGGTTCCAGGAGTATGCCGGAGGCAGACAGACAAGTCCATTAGGCTCAGCAGGGAACATGGGGGTCCGTCCCATGAAGCCATTCCCTCTTGAGCTCTGCAGAGTGCCACCAACCATGACAATATGGCTGCTGGGTGCAATGTCAGGACCAAGGAGAGGTCCCCTGAATGGATGCATCCCAAAAATCGCAGGAGGATTGATTGGGCATACTTCTCCAGCTCCAGACAGTTGTTCCTGTGGTCCACTCCCATGAGAAGTTGTACAAATCCTTGGAGGCAGGGCGGATACCTCAAATCCAGTACCTGATATAGATTAGACAGCAGTCCAGAGGTAGTGTTTGTGGAGACTGTCATGGGTAGTCCAGTAGCCGGGTACAGAGAACATCTGGAAGGGGTTAAAGGGGGAGCCTGGCTGGAATCTGCACAGCTAGAGGTAGTGCCAGATCCCGTCCTTTGCCATCCGGTCAAAGTGCAGGGCTGAGGACTGCTGCTCATCCTTGTCTGGAAGTGAGGAGGTGTTAAGGTTTGAGTCGAGAGTCACAGAGAGAGGAGATAACCTGAATAGGAGGAGATGACAATGATCTCCAGACCAGATGTGGGATACTTGACATCAGGAAGGAAGATTCACAGGTGCCAGCATGCACTTTTTGCCCCTTTTGTCACCAGAGGCAATGCTGACACTTGAGTCATGCACATGTTGAACACATGTCCCAGATGGTTGGTTATCCTCCTGGGTCCTACTTGTCTATTGAGTTCCAGATGAGGCATACAATCCTGTGTGGACAACAGTGGTAAGCACATGTCAGGGCACCAGCTCATTGCTTGATCAAGAGACATGACTAAGCCTTTATGACATGGAAGTAGCTGGTATACCTTGGCATGTGCTGGAACCTGCTGGAAGGATTGGATGGTCAAGTGACCTGCTGTGCATGGCTGTGCATGACCTCATATGACCTCATCCTTGGTCATATGACCTG